GCGGGCCAAATGTAATTAGGCTGCGGGCCAAATTTGGCCCGCGGGCCAGAGTTTGACACCTATGCTGTAGTGGAAGCTTAAGAGAGCGTTACATTAATAAACGTCCTCAAACCTCAATGGACTGAAGCCACATTGTGAACAAGAGTGGGGCCAAAATTCCCACACAATAATGTAACAGACTGAAGATGATTACTATGCTGAAAATTTGCACTCCGTACCTCCAATTAAAATAAAAGGTCAAAGTAGTTATTTCTGCACTGCTCACAGCCAGTCTTTGTGGCATTAGTACTTAATTTAACAAAGGAAAAACATGTGTTTCAAACAGGTTAAAGAGTCTAAGGGTGGGAATGTCCTGATGGGAAGCAACAGTTTGTCTACAGTTTTGGAGCCACAGATGAAATGAGGTACTGTATTCGTTTTGTAAACTGAGCCAAAGGAGAGTATATAAACTGAAAAAAAGAACTGGGCCAAGGAAAAATATCAGTTGCTATTAGGTCTCGACAACATGAAGATACTTAATTCAGGGAAAAAGAAATAAAACTGAAAAAAATGTTTAATATTCAATGCAGGCCAGAGTCATCTACAAAATCTGTGTTAGTTTTGATATCAGCTACATACCTCAAAGTTTTATTATTTATTAATACTTAAGAAAATCTGTTTAATGGCATGAATATAAACACAGGGAACAAGAGGTTGGTCAAATACCTTTCATTTTATTTTTATTTTTTGCCACTTGGTTACAATACTTTGGGAAGCTGTAAAGAGAAAAAATGCACATTCAGAGCTAAGATTCAGAATCTTGCAAAGCTAACCAGAAAGAAAAAGGAACGGCTTGTTTATGAGCTGGTATATGTTGCTTTAACAGCATCGCTGAAGGTTTATGTCAAAGGACGATCGCACACAAGCATCACTTCGAGCCTTTGGACTTTTCAGAGCTCCAGATTTCTTCACACTCTCTGTTCACCACCAGTTTGCCGTCATCGGTCAGTTGAAGACGGCACATGTTGCACTTGGCAGAGTTGGAAGAGTTTGTGTGCCACTTAGGCGTGTCACACTTGTTATACATGACCAGGTTGCAGTCAGCCTGCATGCACAGACGGACGGCATCTGATCCTTCAGTGTCTGAAGTCCACAAAGGCTTCCAGCCATAGATGACAAAATTGCCATCACCCTGCAGCCACAAAGAAATCACACATTAGATAACTGTCAACACGCATGACTGGGAAACAAGGCTTTTATGAGATTCTGAACTGAGAAAATTTGAAGTAGTCACCTGAAATACAGCTTTGTACTGCTTGTTGTTGGACACCAGGTAGTCTCCCCTCCGGAGCTCATCATTTTTGGACAAGAAGTTCCTGCTCATGATCCTGCAACACACAACAAAGTCAGAATTTTATTTGTGCGCATCAATGAAACCTGTTCTTCTTACATTCGTTTGTATCCAAAAAACTTGATAACAATTGCAAACTTCTGTTCATTTGCAGATATTTAACAAAATGCATTTATTTTAAAGTATACTTACAGGCTTGAATGTCTTCGACCAGTTCAGCAAATTCAGAGAGGTGATGTGTGAGAGGTAAAATTTACATTTTTATATACCACAGATGAGGGCGGTGACAAAAAGTGAAAAGGGGGCTGAGAAAGGGGCATTAAGCCCTACTTTTTACGCTTTTGTTCGTCTGACATTTAAAATTTGACAGACTATTTGACAGACTATAATTTAATCGTTCTGACCTTTCCGTCTTGGCAAATCAGTCAACATCTTTGTATAGACAAGTGTGATTATACAGCATGCAGCATTCAAGGTCATGCCTTCAGGGACTTTACGAAGTACCTCTTCAACAAGTTTTCTCCTGTAAGGGCAAATCTTTTTCTAGGCAGCCCTGTGCTTTGAGTAATTTTAAGTAGTACTTTGAATTAACTACATTAAGAATTTGCATTTCTGTCTTCTCACTCTTTTCTCTTAAGACTATAACATTAAAAAAAAATACATGTAATCTGTGCAGTTTAACGAACAAAATTAAAAAAAAAACCTGGCTGTCATTCTCACCTTTTAAAATTTTTATTTTGCGGTTCTGTTCTGCTCAATTGTTCAAGTAATACCAGGATATTAAAAGGTAAAGAAAAAAACAATCTTCAAGGTTTTCAAACAACTTTTAACCCTTTAAGACCTACCATAGAACCAAGTCCGCCAGAGCTTATATTATATTTTTACAT